TGAGTTCTAACTTGATTGCACTGTGGTCTGAGAGACTGTTTGTTACGATTTCCGTTCTTTTGCATTTGCTGAGGAGTGATTTACTCCCAATTATGTGGTCAATTTTACAGTAGGTGTGATGTGGTGCTGAGAAGAATGTATATTCTGTGGATTTGGGGTGGAGAGTTCTGTAAATGTCTATTAGGTTTTCTTGGTCAAGGTCTGAGTTCAAGTCCTGGATATCCTTGTTAATTTTCTGTCTCCTTGATCTGTCTAATATTGCAGTGGAGTGTTAAAGTCTCCCACTATTATTGTGTGGGAGTCGAAGTCTCTTTGTAAGTCATTAAGAACTTGCTTTATGTATCTGGGTGCTCCTGTATTGGGTGTGTATATATTTATGATCGTTAGCTCTTCTTGTTGCATTGATCCTTTTACCATTATGTAATGTCCTTCTTTGTCTCTTTTGAAATTTGCTGGTTTAAAGTCTATTTTATCACAGACTAGGATTGCAACTCCTGCTTTTTTTTTTTTTTTTTTTTGCTTTCCATTTGCTTGGTTACTCTTCCTCCATCCCTTTATTTTGAGTCTGTGTATCCTTGCGTGTGAGATGGGTTTCCTGGATACAGCACACCAATGGGTTTTGGCTTTTTATCCAATTTGCTAGTCTGTGTCTTTTGATTAGGGCATTCAGCCCATTTACATTTAGGGTTAATATTGTTACATGGGAATTTGATCCTGCCATTTTGATGCTAGCTGGCTGTTTTGCCCATTAGTTGATGCAGTTTCTTCATTGTGTGGATGCTCTTTACCATTTGGTATGTTTTTGGAGTGGCTGGTACTGGTTGTTGTTTTCTGTGTTTAGTGCTTCTTTCAGGAGCTCTTGTAATGCAGGTCTGGGAGTGATGAAATCTCTGAGTAATTGCTTATTCTTAAAGGATTTTATTTCTCCTTCACTTATGATGCTTAGTTTGGCTGGATGCAATTCTGGGTTGAAAGTTCTTTTCTTTAAGGATCTTGAATATTGGCCCCTGCTCTCTTCCAGCTTGTATGGTTTCTGCTGAGAGATCTGCTGTGATTCTGATGGCCTTCCCTTTGTGGGTGACCCAACCTTTCTCTCTGGTTGCCCTTAGCATTTTCTCCTTCATTTCAACCTTGGAGAATCTGACAATTATGTGCCTTGGGGTTGCTCTTCTTGAGGAATATCTTTGTGGTGTTCTCTGTATTTCCTGGACTTGAATATTAGCCTGCCTTGATAGGTTGGAGAAGTTTTCCTGGATAATATCCTCAAAAGTGTTTTCCAGCTTGGATTCATTCTCACCATCACATTCAGGTATACTTATCAAACGTAGATTAGGTCTTTTCACATAGTCCCATATTTCTTGGAGTCTTTGTTCATTACTTTTTATTCTTTTTACTCTATCTAATCTTGCCTTCTCATTTTATTTCATTGAGTTGATCTTCAACCTCTGATATCCTTTCTTCTGCTTGGTCAATTCGGCTATTGAAACTTGTGTATGCTTCACGAAGTTCTCGTGTTGAGATTTTCAGCTCCATCAATTCATTTATTTTCCTCTCTAAGCTGTTTATTCTTGTTAGCATTTCATCAAACTTTTTTCAAGGTTCTTAGTTTCTTTGCATTGGATTAGAACATGTTCTTTTAGCTCAGAGGAGTTTCTTATTACCCACTTTCTGAAGCCTCTTTCTGTCAATTCATCAGACTCATTCTCCTTCCAGCCTTGTTCCCTTGCTGGTAAGGAGTTGTGATCCCTTGGAGGAGGAGAGGTGTTCTGGTTTTGGGTGTTTTCATCCTTTTTGCACTGGTTTCTTCCCATCTTTGTGGATTTGTTTACCTGTAGTCTTTGTAGTTGGTGACTTTCAGATGGTGTCTCTGTATGGATGTCCAGTTTGTTGATGATGAAGCTGTTTCCTTCTGTTTCTTAGTTTTCATTCTAACAGTCAGGCCCCTCTGCTGTAGGACTGCTGGAGGTCCACTCCAGGCCCTGCTTGCCAGGGGATCACCTGCAGTGGCTGCAGAACAGTAAGGGTTGCTGCCAGTTTTTTCTTCTGCTATCTTTGTCCCAGAAGGATACCCGCCAGATGTCAGTCTGAGCTCTCCTTTATGAGGTGATTCTGGATGTACAGGGGTCAGAGGCTGCTTGAGGAGACAGTCTGTCCTTTATAGGAGCTCAAGTGCTGAGCTGTGAGCTCTGTTGTTCCATTCAGAGTTGCTGGGCAGATACTTTAAAGTCTGCTGTAGTAGAACTCATATCAGCCTTTTATTCCCCCAGCTGCTCTGTCCCTGAAGGTAAGGCTTTATTTATAAGTTTCCGTGGAGCTGCTGCCTTTTTTCAGGGATGCCCTGCCCAGCGAGGAGGCAGCCTAGTCACTGTCTGCCAGCAGAGGCATTGCTGAGCTGCTGTGGGCTCCACCCAGCTGCCGTGTGAACTTCCTTGCAGTCCTGTTTATAGGGGTATAGTTAGAATTGCCTCAGCAATGGTGGTCTACCTTTGTAATGGTGGACTCTCTCTGTAATGGCAGGCTGCCTTAGCAATTGCAGCCTACCTCGGTAGTGGTGGACTACCTTGGTGTAGTGGTGGACTGCCTCGGTAATGGCGGATGCCTCTCCCCACAGCTGGAACGTCACAGGTTTTGCTGTGCTTGCTGTGAAACTCTCAATCCAGAGCATTTCAGATTGCTGGTCTTTGTGGGAGTGGGACTGGCTGTGCCTGATTATCTGGCTCCCTGCCTCAGACCCATTTTTTTCAGTTGAATGGGCAACTCTGTCTCCCAGGCCTTCCAGTCACCCATTGAAATGGTGCCCAGATTTGTGTGAGTTCTTGTGCTGAGATCTGCTGCGCCGGCTGAAACAGCTGCACTGGGGGCTCGTGGCGCTTTTCCACCCAGGAATCTCCTGGCCTGGCTCCCTGTTTCAGTCCCCTTTTTACCAGTTGAATGGGTGACTCTCCCCACCAGGCGCTCTAGTTGCCACCTGAAATGGCACCCAGACCCATGTGAGTTTTTATGTGGAGACCCAGGCGCCAGCCGAAACAGCTGCACTGGAGACCCATGGCATTCCTCCACCCAGGAATCTGCTAGTCTGTGGGCAATAAAAATCCATCTGGAAATGTGGTGTCCACTCACCCGCACTCTCGCTGGGAGCTGCAATCCAGAGCTGCTCCTTCTCGGCCATCTTGGATCCCCCTCTCTTTTTTTCTTTTTTTGAGACAAGGTCTCCCTTGTGCCCATGCTGAAGTGCAGTGGCGTGATCTCGGCTCACCACAGCCTGAACCTCTGGGCTAACCTAATCCGTCCACCTCAGTATCTGAGTGGCTGGGACCACAGCTGCCTGGTTAATTTTTGTATTCTTTGTAGAGACAAGGTCTTGCCGTGTTGCTCAGGCTGGTCTCAAATCCCTGGGCTCAAGCGATCTGCCCATCTCAGCCTCCCAAAGTGCTGGGACTATAGGCATGAGCCTCTGTACCTGGCCGTAACTATGAAGTAAGTAGTGAGTTGTCTGGGCAGATCTTAACTGTTACATGACCACTTCACAAGTCAGGTAGGGAAGCAGCATTCTCGTCTTACAGCAGCTGATTGTCTCAGACAATGCCAAGTGGGACGGTGGCTGGCACATGTGAATGATAGAAAGGACAGAACCAGTGTGACTCTCATATTGGAAGCTGTTACTGATGCATCCATGTGTGCTATGAATATGTGGCAAGCATACATTGCATGTCGGGCACTGTACTAGCAGTAAGGACACACGAAAAATTAGTCCCTGTCCTGAAGGCACTCAGCAAGCAGGAAAATATTCATGAATAAATCAGCTAACGCTTGTCAGCCAAGGGCAAGGATCTGGAAACTAAAGGGCCCTGGAATCTCAGGGACATATTTTATTTTTTCAGTGTCATCCATCTATTCCTTCCCTTGTGTCTGACAAATGCATTTATAAGAGGACCAGCTTGGTCAGAAGGCTTTTGAGATCATAGGACCGGTGTCCATGAAGACATCTGTATGGACCCTTTTCATTATTTTGCACCCATAAGTCTTGGTTTTAAACAGTTTTGTTCACAAAGTTATCATCTTTTCAAAGTCACAGCCTATATTAGCCTCTTTTCTAGCTAATCAATGGCATAGATAGGTCAAGACTTAAGGCTTCTGTGTGTACTAACCAGTGTCTCCACACTCAAGTTACATAATTTTGATCACCAGTAAAGAAAATTTGTATGCAGCAGTATTTCAGAGGCAAGATTCCAATACAGTTAAGAAATGGCATCAGAGCACCAGAAGTCCTGACTGAGCAGCTGAACATGAGGATATTTAGGGAACCAGCTTTCAAGGCCCATTCATAAAGTAAGAAATCTCTCTGCACTTTTAACTAATTTTCACAGCTCTAAAACCACTCATTTCATCTAGTAGGCCCATTTCCAGCATCTGTTATGCCGATTAACAAACTACTAACTTCACCAACAAAAACATCTGTGGAAGTGTTAACTGGCAGCATCTGACGTGAATCTAAACTATGGATACTAATCAAGGCCATTGTAGTGTAGTCATTATCTCAGGTATGAACTTTTCCAAAAAAAATGGTAGGTGATTACCTTAATGTTTGAATTCCTGATTCAGTAATTGACAGGCCCTAGAGATAGTTTAAAAATATATACATTTAGGCCGGGTGTGGTGGCTCACGCCGGTAATCTCAACACTTTGTGAGGTTGAGGCAGGCGGATCACTTGAAGTCAGGAGTTTGAGAGCAGCTGGCCAACCTGGTGAAACCCTGTCTCTAGTAAAAATACAAAAATTAGACAGATGTGGCAGGTGCCTGTAATTCCAGATACTTGGAAAACTGGGACAGGAGAATCACTTGAACCCAGGAAGCGGAGGTTGCAGTGAGCCCAGATGATGTCACTGTACTCCAGCCTGGGTGGCAGAGCAAGACTCTCTCAAAAAGGATGGATAGATAGATAGATGATAGATTTATATCATATTCTCTATAAAAAAGTATTTTAAAGGAAATTGCAGACATGCTCATACTGTCTGTGAAGATCTCATCTAACTATGTAGCAAGAGCTGAATCTCAAGCTGAATCTGTATGGAGGAGGATACATTTTCTAATTAAGATGCTCCTATCCCAGGTGGTAAAAGCCTTACTGTTGTTTTCTCTCTTGGTTTAACTTATTTCTTATCTGTCTGGAGGCATCTGAAGTCCTCCTGAGTTTTGTGTGCAGGGCACAGTTCTGGAGTAGTCAGTTACTCTCACTTCCTAGCAGACCTGACTCCCAATTTGGCTCAGACCTGGACTTTACCTTAATACCCTGATGCCTGCGGAGGAATGTTACCCTACCCTCCACCCCAACCTGCTCATTCACCCTTTGTGTGACATACACTGATAGCATTGCTGCCTTCCCCGCTTCACCCAGGACTAAAGACTTCAGTTAATTAATATTCACAAATAAGGTCATGAGCAAACTCAAAGCAAGTGCCTGTCATGCAAAATTGGACGCAAAATCCTCTTTCAGCTAAAATGCATGACAGTGTTCCTGTAAGCAAGTGGAAAGGAAAAGCATTCCTCTAATCCTCAGTGAGCTTGCTGACCACAGGGAGCAGGTGCCAGAGAGTCATGTGGTATTTCTAGAGCCAGGTTTCCCCCTCAGAAGCCAGGATTTGGAAGGCCATTACCAACCATGGGAGTGTGGCTGATCAAATTAAGGAATGTGTTTTTAAATTCAGTTATACCCTCAGTGGAAATGGCCTCACTAATGCTTAGAGAAAGCATTATGTCCAACCTATAAAGCCTAACATTGCTAAACCCAATTTTGTGCATTATTCTAAAGGTTAATTGAAGATCTGTCTTCCAAATGGGGAGTTAAACACAGCCAATGGAAGGAAGGCATCCATTGACTGACTGTGGGGTTTATCAGTCTGTAAGAGTTCATTAGTTTTAATTAGTGTAATCACTAATGTTGCATTAACAGTTTAGTGAAGGAAAGTAATTACTCACACATCCACTGTATTAGATGGGAAGATTGGAATTCATTTTCTGAAACGATTAGCATTTTGCCAATTAAAAGAATCCCTTCTCCCTGCCAGCAGCCCTGTGACCTCACTCACCCAAGGATCGTTTAAATGAAACATATTTTGCATCAGAAGATGGAGCAGGAAGAAATAAAAAAAATTAAGGTTGCGTTTATTCTCAGCACTTTCCCGGGGTGACAGCAAGTGCACAGGTCTCAGTGAGTATATCATGTCCTGCTCTATTTGCATAGTTATTCACTTCAGGCTCTTCGGATTATACCCTTGGCTGCTTTGTAACACGGCAGCAATTAAAAAACAAAACAGCCAGGGGAATATGAAGCCACAAGGAAGCATCGGGAGAATCTAGGGGGAATGACTGTTGCGGGGGTCTGCTGGTTGGACAAGGGTTGATTCTTGCTTCTGGCCCCATTCTGATCACTAGCTTACAGCAGGTTCTGCTGCTGGGCAGGGAGGGCATCGTGCTGCCCACAGGGGCTCCCTAAAGCACACAGCTGGGTCTCTTGGATGTTCCTGCTAATATGCACTGTGCACTGGGTGCCATCTCGGAGCCTCAGCGTGGCTTACAAGGCCTGGGCAATATGGTCCAACATCTCCACCAGATTCCCTATCAGCCACTTGGGACTTCTTGTCACTTCTTGAACATCCACGTTCTTTCATACCCAGCTCCTTCAAACCTGCCATTCTCCCTGTCGGCAAGCCCTTTGCCTGTTCTGCTACAGAATTCACCCTTTACGCTTCAATCAGTTTACATGTCACCTCACACTGGCTAGAATAGCTACCTCCCCCGCTTGGTGCTCTCAGAGACCCTGGTGCACCCTGCATTTTTGAACTGTTTTATAAAACACACAATCGAAGTGAGCTGGTGAGGCAGGAATAAGGAGCTAATTCTGTTCAGTATTTGCAGCCCCTCACCCATGATGGGTGGTGTGTACGTATATGCTGAACGGCTTAATTATGGGCATCTCTCTCTCTCCCCCTGCCATAAGCCCCATCAAAACAGCCCAAGGGCCCCAGCCTGTTCAAATCAGCAGCATGACATATGAGGAATGGATATATTTGCATGCAGGTGCAAATATCTCCATTCACCCACCTTCACTCATCTGCCTGACCCAGTACCACTTTCAAAGGGAGCCAAACCTTGCTGAGTGCATCTGCTGGGTTCCCTTTGCTGGTAATTTCTGCTTGGGTTTAACCAACGCAAGGCACTGTCAGAGACTGGAGAGAGGGAGATCCAGGTATTTCTTCCCACTCCTCCCTACTAATTTGACTTCCCATCGCTGACATTACCTGCACAGTTCAGGACAGAGAAGATGGAAAATGGATCCAGGGAAGAAAATGGAGAAATGGGAAAGAATATGGGAAATCCCAGAGGCCATTTCTAAATGGGGATGGGACATTCTGTCTGTTCTCACAGGTCAGGACTGGGACTGGCAGCCCCAGGCGAAGTGTGAGGTTAGGGTTTTCTCGGTTTTCTGGTGGCCTGCGCTCAGCCCAAATTGCTGCTCATGTGTGAAAGTAAGTTGATCAGAATGGAGACAGGCAGGCACAGACTGAAGTGGAAGGCTGCCAAGTCTTCACCCAAAACCACATCTAAATGGAAATGCCCTCTCGAGGAGACACTTGATAAAGTTTGTAATGCTGTTTTATAGGCATTCTCTCATTTGATCTCCTGACATGCCCTTGAGATAAATATTTTGCCAATGAGAGAACTGACTTAAGGCTGCTGTCCATGTAAACAGTGAAACAGACTAGAGTCGTTTGACCCCAGCCTGTGATCTTCCCCGTGTATGACCTGTCACCATTAACCAATCTGAGCTCCATTCCCAGCTGCAGCCCTTATGAGCTGTGTGACTTGGGCAAGGGACTCACTCTCTCTGTGTCTATGTTTCTTCATCTATAAGAAAAACATAAAATGTTTCTCTCTTGTTTGTTGTAAAGACTGGGAGAGAGGGGCCTTCTCAGAGACCGGAAGAGGGAGACCTTTTGGGTTTTTCATGAGAGCCCAAGACCAGGTCCTCTTGAGCATAGGAGAAGAGGTTGTGTAGGAGATTGGTAAGAGAGGTGGGGAAAATTATAGAAAAAAACGTAAACCTTCTTGGAAGGCTGAGAGGTTTGCGTCTTTCCTATAATTTTTCCCACCACCCTGAGCGATCTCCTACAAGGTTCCCTGCCTACCGGGCCTGCAGATGGTGGAAGGACCATGGGAGGATCCTGAGTCTGGCTGATGAAAGGTGTGGGCCCCAGGCTTCCTGCATGATCTCAGGAGAAGGGAGAAGCCCCCCAACCCAATGACTAAATGTCCATGCCACCAGCAGGCAGGCAAGGACAAAGCCAGATTTAATTTCATTTTTTAATAAGGAAATTGATCTTTTCTGTGAAAAATTAAATGAAATCTTCAAAACATACCTCCTTCCATAGTGCGTATCACTTGTTAAGTCAGACTCATCACTAGCGGGATTCTGGAACACAGCTTGTTCCTGCATAGCTGAAGATCCACTGTCTCCCTTGGGAAAGGGGGACCAGGTGGGGTTGCAGAATGTAGGACAGCAGACTGCCCAGCAGCTGCCATCCAGGGGCAGGAAGGGCGCTACTGGAAGAGCCCCTGTAGATCACACTTCTCGGGGGAGAATGCAGAAACTAGCAGATGGAACTAACAACTGCAGAGTAGAGCCAATCTGGCCCCTCCCTCCTCCAGGCTACCTCTATCACTAGGCTGGCCATCCCAGTGCGCTGTGTGGTATGTGTGTGCAGGTATGTGTCATGAGCATGTGTGTGTGCATGCATGTGTATTGCGTGCATGACTGTGCATATTTGTGTGTGTGCATCCTGAATGTCCTAAAGAAAGGAAGCTAGCTGGCTCACTATTAGCCCCAGGGAGCCAGGGTAGACAGAAACTCTGGCAACAACAGTGGCAAGTGACCTTCACCCGTACCCTCTGTACTTGGGGAATGAACTGAAACAGGGCGAGGAGGCAAGTGCCCAAAGGCATCTCAAGTCCAGAAAGTATTTGGAGAGCTAGGGCAGAAGGGACACTCCCTACCTGAGTTCAGCCTAGGAAACGGCTGCAGGGTGAGCGACTCATGCCTGGAGTGCACTGCAGAGCTGCCGCCTCCCCTACGCGACCTAGATCATGCAGGCTAATTACGGAAAAGAAGGACTCGGGAAATGGAGGAGGGAGCTGAAGGCAGGCATCACTGGATGGGGCTGTGCTTCTGTGTTCAGAGTCGGGGGTGTGAAAATGAATCCCAGTCTTTCACTTACCGGTTTTGCAGCCTCCGTCACGTTATTACAGAAGCCTGTTTCTTAAGCTGAAAAATATGAATCACAGTCTTCATGTCACATGGAGGACCTCTGTCAAAACTGTAATTAATTATAAGTGTGTTAATATCTGTGCCACCCACACCGAGAGACATGGTGTCTATTGTACTCACAGCTGTATCCCTGCTGCCTGCAAGGACCTGGCCACAGCAGATGCTCAATAAATGTCCACAGACGCCTGATCGGAAGGTGTCCTCACAGCTCTTGGTGTTTTGGGGGGCACTTGTGGGCATATCACCATGAGGAACAGAAGGTGGGGAGATGCTCCAGGTAGAGGCTGCCTAGTGGTGAGGCCCTGGGAAGCTGCTCTGGGGCAGAGAGCTAGAAACGGGGTAGATATTTGCCTGGTGTGGTGAAGTCTCAGGAGTCACAGCGGGGGCTCTCTCCTTAGGGACTGGTCTCACTTCACGCCGTCAGCTCCGTATCCCACCAGACGCCTTAGGACACAGAGAAGGGCACCCAAGACAGGACAGCCCCAGGCTACGCTGGAAGGACAAATGGGCATTATGTAAACTTTGTTCTAAAATTAATAACTATGACAAAGTAGAAAAAAAAGTCTATTGACCTCCATTGCCTGCACAAAAATATCAACAATATCAAAAAAGCAAAAAAAAAAAAAAAAAAAAAAAAAAAAAAAAAAAACAAAACAAACCCATAGCTGTCTTTGTTCTTTATGATTGATGACCATCCCACTGCATGTTACTTCAGGGGGAAATTGCCTATTTGCTTGTGGATCTTATTAAAGAACCAGAAAGGCATAAATACTGCATTTTCTTGGACTGAGATTTCAGAATCTCAACACCCCACACCCCAAGGTGCCCACTCTGTCCCTTGTTTTTTGGGTTTTTTTTTTTTTTTTTTTTTTTTTTTTTTTTTTTTTTTTTTTTTTTTTTTTTTTTTTTTTAGAAATGACCCTTTCTCAGCCTGCACTGGAGAATCTGCTTTTAACACTTTGAACATCAGAGTGGTGGCAGCCAGGGAAAGACAGGCCTCATTCTCCGTCTGACGTTCTTCTCTTTCCTTACAGTATGTGTCCACTCGGCGCGCCGTCACTCAGAGCGCTCCAGAGCAAGGCAGCTTCCACCCTCACCATCTCACCCACCACCACTGCCACCACCGCCACCACCACCACCTCCGCCACCATGCCCACCCCCACCACCTCCACCACCAGGAGGCGGGGCTGCACACTGCCCCGGTGACGCCCTGCCTGTGCCTGTGCCCCTTGTTCTCCTGCCAGTGGGAAGGCTGCCTGGAGGTGGTGGTGCCCCACCTGCGGCAGATCCACAGCGTTGACATCCTCCAGGGAGCTGAGATCGTCTTCCTGGCCACGGACATGCACCTGCCCGCGCCGGCCGACTGGATCATCATGCACTCCTGCCTTGGCCACCATTTTCTGTTGGTGCTGAGGAAACAGGAGAGGCACGAAGGGCACCCCCAGTTCTTTGCCACCATGATGCTGATTGGGACCCCCACCCAGGCCGACTGCTTCACCTATCGCCTGGAGCTCAACAGAAACCATCGGCGTCTGAAGTGGGAGGCCACGCCCCGGTCTGTCCTTGAGTGCGTGGACTCGGTGATTACCGACGGGGACTGCCTCGTCCTCAACACCTCGCTGGCACAGCTCTTCTCTGACAACGGCAGCCTTGCCATCGGGATCGCCATCACCGCGACGGAGGTCCGCCCCTCAGAAGCTGAAATGTGAGGCCGGGAGCCCTGGGTGCTCCCACACAGCCTCCCTAGGAAACGCCTCGGACCTCCCAGTGCCGCGCCAGGACTCCAGACTCCTTTTTATTCTCCTTCCTTCCTTTCTTTTAATTAATTATTTTTTTTTGGTCTCAGGTACTTTGTGAGATTTAGTCTTTGTCTGCCATGGGCATTGTATTACGTAAACATCCTGTAATTCAAGATCTTGGTGTGGCGTTTGTCCTGTATTGTTGGTGTTGTTTTATAGAACGTTTCTAAGATTTAGTCAGAATAGTTTTTTCCTGTCACCTCCAATTCCTTTCTCTGCTGCTTTGGAAAGGATCAAAACACCATGAAGCAGACTGTTGGGGTTGAGAGGCTTAGCGTGAGAATCATTTCTTGTTTCTCTTTTCAGTCTATTTCAGAGCAAGCTAAACCTGAACGTGTGTAGTTAGCAGCTTGGGGAAGGGGCCCCACTCAGAGATGGATCACATTTCAGACCAGCCAGACTCTGACACCTTCCCAGGAACTCAAGGTCAAAGCTGGGCTACCCAGGCATGAGGAGATGGTGTCTCCTCCGCACGGCTGGAGGCTGGACTAGCGGCGTCATCCTGTGCTGAGCGCTCAGGTTGACGCTGGGGCTCAGGAGAGTGGTCAGAGGCCCACCTTCCTGTGATGGGCTCTTGTCGCCTTGTTCCCAGGCTGTGCCATCTTTTCCTGCTCTGGAATCAAAGTCCTCAGATTTTTGGTGATTTCTTAAAAACCCCTTTGCCTTCTGTTGAGCAAATAGCAGACAAGAATAGGCACGATGGGGGATGGGGAGGAAAAGCAACAGGGAAAAGAGAACATAAAATTAATCTCCCATCTCTGGGAGGGCACTCCCTCCTCGGAGAGTTTTATTATCAAGTTATAAAACCCATCAGTCCCTCCCTAGGGTGCAGTTCTTTCATATCATGCAAAAAGCAGAACCAGGATTCAGCATCAAAGGCAAAGAACTCAGAGGGCGGCACCCAGGACCTCTGACCTGGGGGGCTGGCCATCGCTTACAAACCTGGGAGGCTCTCTTTCCTTCCCTTACTTTCTAAAATGCTCTGACGGTCCCATTCAGCACACAGCCGTGTCCACGGCTCCAGTATGTATTCGGCACCCTGTTGTAGTGCGAACGAAACAGCGACAGAAATCTATACGGCCTCCACGCAGGCTGCTCTCACTTACCTGGTTGTTAGAACAATTCACCAACATTTTCCTGTAGACCTGTCTCATGTCTCTGAAGAAAGTCAGCATGTTTAGTCAACTTTGTCTTTTCTGTTCTAAGGTGGACACCTTTAAGCCTTCCCAGGAGGACCTCTTCTAGCTCCTTTTCGTCACATTCGTCCCTCCCTCTGGCTGCTCTCCAGACACTGCAGATGCCAGGCACCCCATCCCCAGTGCATCCTCATGAGAGCCCACTCTCTGCACCCGTTCCTGCACTTCACCCCCTCAGCTGCGTCCTGGCGGGCCTCCAAATGACTACTTAGTATCAGGCAAATTGCCCTGGCTGGCCATCCGAAATCTTTTCTCCACCAAAAATAATTGATCCCGAAACACAGCACCCTCCCCCCAACAACTGGGTCAATTCTCCAGCCACTTTTGTGGCCAACCTGCAGCCCACACACCAGAAGGGAGGTGCCAGTTGATGGAAGGTTAAATAACAGAGGCCACTCTGGTCACACAGTAATCGCTGGGCCACTGGGGCAGAGACTGCATTCCATCAGAGCCCTGAGAGGGGCAGAAATGTCACCACAGATGGAGGCACCTGTCAGATGCTACAGTCTCAAGGAAAGGGTTGGGGCCTGCTTGTTCTTTGGGCTCTCAGACGCCCTGGCAGGGCACCAGCCACCTGCCCCCACCCCCACTCCAATCACACAGATGCCCAGGAACACCTGAGGCTGGTGGGTCTGCGCTTGGAGAGACTGGCGGTCTTAGCTCCTCACTGTATCCCCAACCCCCTTCCCAGAACTTAAGACACCCTTGGCTCCAAGTCTGATGCCTTTAGAAGCCACAGGTCCTCTCCTGGTTTTCGGGACTCAACCACTTCGAAAGCATTTGTGTAGCATCACAGGTGCTCCAGATCAACAAACAAAACCTCACAAAGAGTATAACTAACATTCACAGGACCTTAGGGCTCCTGCAGACATCACCTTTGCCTTCTGGTTGTGCCAAGTTACCTGAGCCACACTGGGACTGACTTCAGGTTATTTTCACTGCACACAAGACTGTATTATGAATAAGTGATCCCAGATGGGAGTTTTTATGTTGGTTCCTAGGAACCTTTAGGACAAAGCATTGGAAATGTATTATTATCTTCCATCTATGGTGCTCCCCCAAAAGGCCTTTCCATATCCATATGTGAAGAACTGGAGAAAAAGGAGCAAACTAACAACCAAGAATTGGGAATAGAAAATGGTAACAACTGTGTGTATTTGAACTTCATAGTTCCTGAAGGGCTCTTTCATTTGAGTCTCAGGTTAATCCTCATTAGTATCCTCAATAAACTAAAAGAATAGAGGTTCTAAGACACTAATCTTTTCAAGGTCACACATCAAGTGGTTGGACCACAACCAAAACCCAGATCACCCACCTGCACACTCGGTGTGCTTGAAGTAAGACTCACCCGAAATACTCAGCAGCCTTGCCAGCTCACCAGTGGACTGAAGACCTGAGAATCAACTGAGTCTCGGTCCTGGGTTAGTCAAGGGAGCAGGGAGAGAAAGACTAGAGTGGATTTGCCTTTAGAAGCATCTCTGCTTTAAGAACTAGGCTGGGCACAGTGGCTCATGTCTATAATCCCAACATTTTGGGAGGCTGAGGTAGGAGGATTGCTTGAGCTCAGGAGTTTGAGACCAAACTGGGCAATATAGCGAGACTTCATTTCTACAAAAAATAAAAAATCAGCTGGGTATGGTGACAGAAGCCTGTAGTCTTAACTGCTCCAGAGGCCAAGGCAGGAGGATGGCTCAAGCCCAAGAGGTCAAGGTCACAGTAAGCTGTGATTCCACCACTTGTAACTCCAGCCTAGGCAACACAGTGAAACCTTATCTATCTCTTTAGATTAAAAAGAAAAAAAAAAAACAAAACAGCACTAGTCCACCTGGAAGCAGGGGGCCAGGAAGTGGGTGGGGTGCATGCGGGGGCTTCAATGCACCTTGCCTTTTGGAATCCCTTTGCCCACACCCAGGGCTCATCTCAGAGTCCCAGGAGTCCCTGCGTAGAACCCTGGGATCAAGTTGCCTCATGCACACCAAGGGGCTAGAGTTAATGACTCACTCTCTAAGGAGTAATTGCTTTTTAAAAGAAGGCCTAGAGAGACAGCAGCACTTCACAGTGAAAAATGAGTTACCAGAATTTGAACTTCAGGCATCTGCCAAAGGGTTTTTTTCAGGTGTGGAGAGAGGAGCATTCCTCCCCTTGAGGCTGAGCCTACATACGTGGTTGACGCCGAAATGGAGGTCAGGCCACACGAAGATTGTCTTTCACAATCGGTATGTGCATGAATCTGTACCCGGTTTACCCCATCACTGGCTGTGGCTACTGTGGACATCGTAGGAACAGATCAGCATAGTAATCACAGTAGTACTCACGGCTACCACTTGTTGAGGCTTTTCTACATGATCCAGGGGCTATGTACTTTGAATATAGTATCTCATGTAATCCCCATAACAACCTTAGCAAGCAGGTGCTCTTTAATGTACTCATGTTACGGGTGGGAAATGTAAGCGAAGAGAAGTTAGCCAACTTACTTAAGGTCACGCAGCTAGCAAATGGCAGAGCTGGGCCTGGGACCTGGCACATATGGCTTCTGACCAAAAGCAGCCGTGTCATTTCTATGAACATATGGACCCAAGGCTCACAAGGACCAAGTCATGAAGTGTGAATGGCACAGAGGCCTTTTGGTGCTTTCGTATTCCATATGGCCTTTTGGCTCCCCTTTCCTCCATCTTTCTTCAGACCAACATCTGGTGGAATATTAGAGCTGGCTTGCATTCTGGCTGTTAATCTTTCAGGAATTTTGTAAGCTGATTATTAAGTACAGCCAGAATTAAAAATGATATCCATTTACAATTAAATTAATTATATTTAAAGCAAAGGTCATAAATACTTAAAACCCATCACTTCCTCGTTAGTTCCCTACTCTTGTTATTTTCTATGTTTCTGGGGTCATTTACATCTATCACATCTGTATGATGAACATGTTATATGATGATGTGCTGCACTGCATCTTCCAGCTCCACATTTAGTGATGTCATGCTGATTGCTTGAAATTAGCCGTGGTGGAAGTATTTACACCACAGAAATTAGCAAATGCTACTAGACGGGGATTTTTCTCCCTAGAAAGCCAGTTGTTAAGCGTTTACCAGTCTGGTCATTCCTCAGTATCCTTGGGGAATTGGTTCCAGGAATCTCGTGGACACCAAAAGCTGAAGATGCTCAAGTCCCTTTTGTAAAATGGCAAAGTATTTGCATATAACCTACGCAACCCTCCGGTATACTTTAAATCACCTCTAGAGTACTTATAATACCTAACACAATGTAAATGCTATGTCAATAGTTGTTATACTGTATTATTTCTTATTGTTGTATTTTTTTTTCCTGAATATTTTTGATTCACAGTTGGTGGAATCCATGAGTGGGGAACCCGTGGATACAGAGGGTTGACTTAACACCACCGCCTAGACATTGCTGATGCACACAGCAGGGTGGAAGAGGGGACTTTGGAAGGAGAAGCAAGGTCCTGGAGGCCATACTGACAAAGGCATAAATGACAGCCAAGCCAGAAGAACAGCATATTGTTGGGAAAACAGGGACACTTCTGGAGAAGAGACTCCAAGGCTTAAGCAGCAACAAGAGCATTTTCTGCCAAAGAGCACCCTCTGCTCTCCCCCAGACACTTCCCTATTGCGCTAGTGTGGAAAGTTCTATTTGGTGGCTTTCATGGAAAAATTCAGCTCCAGAAACTCGGCCTATTGGCTATCCCAATCCAAAAAGCAAAACCAGCTCTATAAAGCTCAAATTTCCTGTTACTTGTTCTTACAGGTCACCCTCCCTACCTCTTTCTTACATCCTGGCCAAAATCTAATCTAAAGAAATGTTGGACTTTGAAATTAGAAATTATAAATATCCACCATTCAAGAAATACAACAAGCGGTGGTGTCAAACACCACGGTAAGATGCATTACCACAAAAGTGGGACCCCTGTAGAGCACGAAGCTGAGAGACAGAAAACAGGGAGCCGAGGAATGTTACAGGAAAAATAGGGCCCAGGGCTTTACTTTCCTACTTGGCTACTTCACTTTATTGCAACCCAACAAGGACACTGTTCAGAATCCATAGCCTACCCAGACCAATATTCTCTAAATCCAGGGCACCGTTTCCACTAGGACAAGAATCACTGGAAACTCCCAACTAAGTGCCTCAAAGCAGGCAGAATCTTCAAGGTCAATAGTGCATCAGTTACTCCGGTCCCAGTGGTTTCAATGGAAGGGATGGAAGAAGGGACGGTTGCTGAAGCTTCTACTTGGATGCATTTCTAAGGGAAAGGGGAAGAGATCGTGAGTGGGACCCCAAAGAGGTAGACTTTAAGTTTCCGCTGCAAATAGCATCATGCGTGGAGTCACCTAGTCAGATCGTTAAATTTCAGATTGTTTTGTTTGTAAGATTTTCTTTAAGAGTTGATGAACTCCCCATTGTGTTTACCTGGAAAATACCCAGCTGAAGACAGACTTCACTGAAAAGAGATCCAAGAGATCTAGTGTAGATAAACATTAATTTACCCCCAAATCAGGTCATCACATGAACTACCCACCTGAGTTAGAATTTGTCTTTTCCAATATTTTCTGAAAGTATTTCACCTTGAGTACTATACTATAAATACTCCTCAACCTTTTTCAATCTTTTTTTAGGGTATTGAGACAGGAAAGAGAAAGGAAACTGAGAAGGATTTTACTTGCCCTGAATTAGTGTATATATAATTTTCTAGGCTTTCTTACAATGTTAAAGACAATAACTTGAACAAACTTAGACTGCTACTTCACCTCTGCCCTGTCTCTCATAAAAAATGTCATTAAATTGCATTTGATATTGTTTCCTTGGACCCTTTGGAGTTGTTTCTATGGTGGGTTTCTGTTCCTTCCACAGGCTACTGTGCAGCATGAAGGAACAGAAATGAAATGCTACCAGGGAAAGCGCAATTATCAGGAAGTTGCCAGCTGCCACATTTGACTTATGCTTCATTATCTTCCTCCCCTGTTCTTTTTTCCCTCCATTTTAAAGTCATAATTGAATGTAAGGGAGAAAGTGCTACCAGAGGTGAATAGAAGCCCTGGCAACTAACTTACCCCCAGGAGCGATTCCAGCATCTGCTGGTGCCCTGAGAGGAGACACCAAAGCCTCTCGCTGGATTGTAAAGAAAGAGACAGGGCTTCCCTCCCGCTCCAAGCACCCCTGTGCCCCTTATCGTTGCTCTCCTCTGTCTCTGCCTGACAACACTGCCCCTGAAATTTACTTCTGGGCCTATCAGATCAGTTGTCAAGGCAGCCTCCATGGTTTAATTCTGTAATTTCAGGGCACTGTTAGTTACTGGCAAGATCAGGATTGAGCAGAGTTCTAATCCTATTGCCTGTCAATTCACTTTAACCTCAATCTTCTTCCCTGCCGCCTTACTCCCAAGACCTGTTTCCGGCTCTCACAAAGGCTTATAGCAAATGCCTTGAACTGATATGAGTGATCAAAACTGACCGCATGGCCAGCATGAATATTCATGAGGCAGCATACTATTCAGGCCAAGTCCTTTTTTGGGACTATTCTGCACCCCCCATAGTGTCCCAGATATTCACCTCTTCCCTCAAAGTACCTTCAAAGACCTGCACTATGGTTGTTCAGTGCTGGAGAGAGAGAGAGATTTCCCTGAAAGAAGGGAGAAAGTGGCCCTCCTGAAACTAAGCAAGGGAAGAGAGGCCCCCACTCAATCCCAATCCTGGTGTAACCAGGTTCCTGGACGGGACCGGCTCAGCTCCCTCCCCCGATCGGATGTGCCCAAGCTTCTTGGGCTCTCACCCAAGATTGGGGTGAGGGCCCTGGGGCACAGTAAGCTCCTTCAAGTAAATATCAGACCCAAAGAGTTCTGCAGAGAGCCATTTATTAGGAAGAGAGAGAGAGAGAGAAGTAAAAAGAGCTCCCACACTGTTGTAGGAGGGGATCCCAGAGAGCGAAATCCCTATAGGGAGAGAGGGAGAGAGAGCTCCCACGTTACCGTCAGAGGCGATCCAGAGATGGAGGGCATAGAGCTAAGGGAGTAGGGGGGATTTTAACCCCCCGAGTTACTCCCGCCCCATTCAAGTTCCCGTCCAGTGAGAGGAGCTTTTCCAAACTTCCTCTGGAGTGATTGATTTTCGACTCTGATATTGGATTGGTTGCCTGGCCCGCAATCAAAGCCTCCTCCCTCAGAGCTTTTGGTGGGCTTTCTAAACAAAGGAAGCTCACCTGGGCTTTCTAGCCAGCCCAGGCACAGGCAAGTTAGACAAAGAATTCTAAGTTCCCAGATCGCTGGGAAGTTTCTGCCATTAAAACCACACCCCTTGTGGACACAGTTTCCTTTAACACAATCCCTCACCGAGATCCAGGGTTTTGGTTTCCAAATGCCAGTGTGCTTCAGAATCACCTGGATAACTTGATTTCTAAGCCCCAGAACCAGAGATTTGGATTCAGGAGGTCCAGAGTGGAGGCCAGCATCTGATTTTAATAGCCGCCATTGAGAGATTCTGCTGGGGTTATTTGGCTGAACTCTAGGCTCTTAAATTTAGAGCCAGGGGTCTGGTGAGACAGTGGCCACAAGAAACAAAGCAGCAGGTAAAGTCACCTGAAGAAGAGAGCCGGTGCTTCTGCAAGAGAGAGGAAGGCAGGGAAGTGACTGGGAATGGCCACAGTTACATTCTGATGGAGAAGCAAGAAAATCATAAATGGAGTCCAGAGAAGGGAGCAGAGTGGTATTCAGTAGGAGGTCCCTGTCGCCCAATGCTAGAGGGAACACTAGGGTTCTGTCATTTGGGAATAGGA